AGACGTCTGTTTATACGACACGACGAGCGTCGACCCACAAAGGCATCGGTGCGAGCTAGCGCTGATGCCGAGCGACGCGAATATTAATTCGATTAGCTTTCTCCCCGCCGCGGCCGGATGGCTCCGGGTCCACCCCGTGGGCGATCGACGTCGGTCGCCCCTTGCGCGACCGTCGACGTCACCCCGCTGGTCCGTGAAATGAGTAAGTAAGTAGTATATCAGTCGCCGATAGTGCAATATATCTAATGGTGCAGGACACGTGGTATCGATCACACTCCGCGCATTTATATCCATCTCCCGCACGTGTATCAATCTTATTATTATCTGGGATAAAACAGAGAGTCTCACGCGAGGGATGGCAATTCTTTCGGATCGGACGGAGCGCGAATCGATCTATCGCGTGCACGCCGTGGAATCGTTCGTAAGGGTGCAGCGTGAGAGCGCGCCCCATCTTTCGAACGCGCGCGCTTTCCATTGTGTATACTAGCTGTTATTCGGAGTTGATTTTGTGCGCGCCACCGTTTCTCTCGTCTCGGAGATTTCATTACGCGGGAGCACATTGTGATTGCAGTGCAGAGTATATTCGTTAAATAGATCGATGCACGCTCTGACGCGTGTCTGAATGTCTGCAGCGACGTTGAACGCGCTCAAAACACAGCTTTTGAATGAATATTGAAATTGTAATCTTTTCGCGAGATGAAAACGAAGATATATCGATTCGAGATGATGCAAAAGAGCCGCAGGGGTTGTGTACGTCATTCAAAAATGTGTTTTCAAAAAAAAGGAAGGAAAATATTTAATCTTCAGATTCATTAAATTTAACATCGCGAATATAAATTGTACAGCTTTCAAGTACGAATAAAGTAAATTTTTAATAAAAAAAAGTTTTTTTAACGTTATATAAAGTTCTGATTGGGATTTCTGCTTTAACGATATAGATTGCATATTCGATTCTAGTTTCAAAGATTATCCCTCTGTGAAAGTTTAAATGAAAAATCTCTCTCTCTTCTCTCTCTCTCTCTAGCTCTCTAGGCGCGACCCTTTGGCTCGGCGATCAAAGTAAAGCGGCAATCTAAATAAGTTCTGCAATTTATCGTGACAGATTCACGGGAAGAAGCCTCTGAAATATATCTTGATATCGGTATTGGAGAATGGCCTCGCGCAGTCGTCCCCCTCCGTAACTTTCCGGATCGTGATTTCTCTCCGCATCGCTTCTCCCCGTTATCGACCCGATCTTCTCGCGTATCTATCCGAATTGTCTTCTCCCTGTTGCCTGTTCGATAAATCGTTCCTCCCCGTTGCCTACGGGGAAGGGGGAGAGCTACCTTTTGTTTTACCGCTTCTAAATTTACACGTGCGATATTTCGATACTCTCGTTCGGCAAACTCCCTCGAATTCAAGCGCCATCTCGCTACCCGCGCCACGAAGCAACCCCCCATCGATTTTCCGCGCGCGCGAGCGTGCCGCCGGCGCCGCCGCCACCGCCGCTTTACCAAATAAGGGAAGGACTCGCGCTCCTAGCACGGGCAACCCCCCCGACCTGCAACATGGCCGGCCACCGGATGACAGTTGTTGCACCCGTCTCGCGTGCTCGTTGACCCCGTGACGCTCCCACCGGCGGCGGCGGCGTCCCGTTCGGCGTGTGCACCTGTCGCCGTCATGTGTTCGCGCCGTCGGCGCCGATTACGCGGCCGCGATTCCGCGACGGCGAGCCCGTCAAACGTCACGCGATTAACGCCACTCGGGACTCGCGGCGTGTCCTCGTAAAAGCCTTGGCTGCCAGGAGGCTTCCGATATCCCCCCCCTCCCCGCGATTCGAGTTCCTGACTGCGAGCCGGCCGCTCGAGTGGAAAGTATAGATGGCCGAACATCGCAACGATCTCGTCAATCTGTGACACTGTAAATATTATCTGATACAGCGAAACTGTTACGTTTAACGTATACTGCTTTTGTGTTTACTTCAATTAATTTTAAACACCGCTAGAAAAAAATTTCGTTTCTATTTATTGATCATAGAAATACACAAAAAATAAAAATAGTTTCACGGTTGTATAGTTAATTCAAAGAAGAAATTAAGCCTCTAATTGTAAGTCGGATTTGTTTAAACACCGTCTTTTAGAAAATTAATCTGTCAATCGTATATCATCGACCATAATTATTCATAGGTAAAAATTAAAATGTGATGTTTTAGAAAATATTTTTATGACTCTATAATTATAATCTAATAGTTATGTGTGTATGTGTGTGTATATATATATGTGCGCGCGTGACTTTGTTGCATCATCAATCAATCAGAGGGACGCTTGAAGTTTTTGGTGCGCGGGTTCTTTGAACCTCTACACCTCCGTTTGCGAATGCACGGGCGTTTTGACATCGAAACTGTTAGGAAAACCGTTTTGCATGAGTTGCCGGTTTGTTGTTTTAACGCAATGGCATGAGAACGCCGCGTTAGGTTGGGATCCGCGAGCACATAGCGCTCTTATTGTGGATATTAGCGTAGGTAGGCAGAGATGGAACGTGGAACTGTCGTTAACAATTCACGCGAAAGACAAACGACACGGCAAGTGCGTTAAATTTATGCGTTTTTAATTGCAGTGCACCGAGCCTACCGAGGCTTCGAAATTTTACAGCAACGTTATAAAATTTCTTTAAAGTTTTCTTTAAACTACGAAGGCTGACTTTTAACGTAAATAATTTTTTTCGCTTTTATCGTGTTTCTCTTTTTTTGTTTATTATGTAAGAATTTAATAATTTGCTTAACAATGCATTTCTGAAACTTCTGAAAACAGCGCAATCCTTTCTATTATTGATAATTAGATCGCTCTCTCATAATTATTATTGAAAAATCGTGTAGAATGGTTCACAGATACGTTTTTAAAACTTGAAAGCGCACATTTTTACCAAAAATATTTTGATTTTTTCTATCAAAAAAATATGTTGCAAGAAGGGAATACGCAGATAAAAAGAAACACAAATATAACAGCACGCAAGCGAATATCGCAACAGATACGTCCTTGTTTCAAACGTTCCGTGCATGGAGAGCGCACGAGGAATGTCAAATGCAAACATTTATTTTACATTGCAGCTCGACTCGGGGCTATTTATGTTTGTACATCGATATCGCTCGCAGTTATTGATGAAATGCGCTATTATTGTTAATGGCACAGCAGTCGGATACTATGACAGCAATATGCCATTTTTCTGCAAAGCTATATACGCACAGAGTATATTTAAACAATAATATATTGCTTAGTATTCAATAAATTATTTTCTATAGAAATAGACTTTTCTATAGACTTTTGAGAAATTTATACGCTCTCTGAAATTCTGCTTTCCAATTTCGTATCAACGTTATCAGCGAATCGATTTTGACGGAGAAGAATTTCTCAGTCGTAAAGTTCGCGTATTTATAAACTTTTAATATCAATTTCAGTATCGACGGCAAATGGAAGTTTCAACGAAAGGATATCAAGTCCGTTTACTGACTGGAAAAACCAGTTCTTGCTTTTTTTTCATGACTGTTCCTCCAAACGAGTTCAGCAGTTTTACGATCGGATTACGTTGATTAAATTCGAATCGCGGATTGATCGCGAAAAACTATTAAGCGTATCCATGTTATACGAGGAAGCTTCAGCAGTATCCTCGCGTGATATATACGACCATTTTCCCCGACAGGAAACCGAGAGAGGCTCGGCGACCGAGGATGACGACGAGCGCGAAACGTGCTCTTTCGGGCCGAAAATAACGCGCACCGGTACGCGCGGCGGAACGCGGTGGAATCTCGCCGGTCGCAATTTTAGAAGCCGCGAAGCCGATCGCGGATCCTCTCGCGCGCGCGAGTGACAACGGCGAGCTCGGTCCTTCCGGACGTGGACCGCGTGTGCTCTCGTCGAGTCTCGCTTATACGCGCGGCGTAAAAAGCGATCGCGACGCGACGTTCCCACGTGAATCATCAGGTCGTATCACGGTGTGTCCTCGTCCCCGGCGCGAAACGAAACGGAACCGAATGGAACCCCTACGCGGACGCCTCAGGTGAGGGAGGGTTGTTCCGTTCGTTGAAATTACTGATGAGCGAGATTCATCTCCCTCGCCGGCGAAGTTTCGCAGAATCCATTTGTCCCGCGGTATCGATGCGGATACGCGCGTTAATCCGTGCCGTCCAGGCGTGCGCATGTGTCGCCTGTGTCCGGAATTAATGGTTGACATATACACATATATATTATACACATAGCGAATGAATATATACGCTCGAACTGCAGCCTGAAATTTCAATTTCATTGTAGTCTCGAACTGGTGACAAGCATCACTCGTCAGTTGAAGCTCGAGCAGAAACTACATTAAGCCGTTCGTTCGCCGCGCCGTTTGCGTTCGTCGCGGATTAATCTTTCAAGTATTCTGCAAGTGTCTACGAGATATAATCCTACAAAATCCTCCCTTCGTGCTTTTAGCAAGAAAAGTATCTTTGCGAAATGTGTATATATTCGAATTGTCTGGATATGCGGGATGTTTTAGAATTTCCGGGCTTAATTTCAGTGCTTCTGACGTATTTCAAATCGAGTTTTTTAAACAAAATTATGACATATTAATGACTCTACAAGTTAATATATTATGAATTTATTTTTTTTAAATCCAGTCATGAATTTCCGGAAAGAGTTATATTTAATAAAATAATATCGAGGGTTCAATATATCGTGCAATATGGAACGATAAAATCTTAATATATACCATATATCGCAGAAGTTTGCTTTACACGATAAGCATTTCTTTTCACTCGTTTATATCTGTAGCCTTAAACTCTCTCTAAATAATTAAAATTTTTAAAAAATATTTTTGAATAATGTTGCAGCATTACGTTTAAATGATTATTTTTATTCGAATTACAGAAACACTCACGCATCATGTAAATTATGCTTTGACTTGCAGCATTACGTTTAAATGATTATTTTTATTCGAATTACAGAAACACTCACGCATCATGTAAATTATGCTTTGACTTGCAGATGCCTTTCACGTTGTAAAGTGACTCTCGTCGAAAGAAGCTGTACACTTACGATGGGCAAGCTTTTGAGTCTTTTGGCTCGAGATGAGTCTACCTGTTGCACCCCTCAGAAGTACGATGTCTTCTTGGATTTCGAAAGTGAGTCATACATAAATGATTTTTCGCGAAGAGCTTCAGTCTTTAATTCTAAGTGCTGTTTCTCGCATCACGATGTAACATTGTGTCCGTAATGTATTATATTTAATGAAATATTATTAAAATTATGTGTATACATAATTCTATCTGATAAAACACTTATCTGGCACAGAAATAGATATACTTTTTATAGCAAAACGTAACCAGACCTTCGGTGTAGTAAAGAGATATATGTCGTGCGATATAATTATCGATTTGTCTTCTTGGATTTCGAAAGTGAGTCATACATAAATTTTTCGCGAAGAGCTTTAATCCTAATGCTGTTTCTCGCATCACTTATCACGATGTAACATTGTGTCTGTAACATATTATATTTAATAAAACATATTAAAATTATGTGTGTACAGTGTACATAATTCTATCTGGTAAAACTCTTATCTGACACAGAAATAGATATACTTTTTGTAGCAAAACGTAACCAGACCTTCGGTGTAGTAAAGAGACATATGTCGTGCGATATAATTATCGATTTGTCCTATTTGTCTGTTGTCGCAGATGCACAACCGTCGGACATCGAACGCGAGACGTTCGAGGCGGTGCAGAGAGTGCTGAAAAATTCGGAGTCGATTTTGGAGGAGATACAGTGCTACAAAGGAGCTGGAAAAGAGATCAGAGAAGCGATTTCGGCACCCACGGAGGAATGTCAGCGAAAGGCATACCTGACCGTGGCACCTCTCGTCGCGAAACTCAAACGATTCTACGAGTTTTCCTTGGAACTCGGTACGCTTCATTAATCACGTTAACGACAACATTTTTTTTTTTATAAACAGCAACGTTACGCTTTGCTTCTTGAAAGCTCGATATCGAGTATTGGGAAAACTTCGACCTGTACCCGCGGAATGCTTTTAGCTACAATATAATTTGTGGCATAAATTATGTTAGGCACTGATGGTTATTGGAAATGCAAAACGTGGGAAACAGTATCTCGAACAGAATTGCTCTTGATTCTCGATACTTGTTTTTAGCGAATATTTTTGAGGATGGATGCGTAGAGTAGATTTAATATCAAAAGTGCAATATTTAAGTTTCTGCTTTTTATATTTTGATTAATTATATAGTGAAATTAAGAGACAGAAAGAAACAAAGAGACAGAGAGAATGTGTAAAAAATATTATCGATTAGTTATTTATTTGTTTATTACTACATTATATACAATGCACATATAACTGTCATTCTCATTATTTGACATTATTATATTATGTATTACGATAGCTATTTATTTGTTATACGATTAGCTATTTATTTATTTATTACCATATTATATACAATGCACATGTAACTGTCATTCTCATTATTTGACATTATTATATTATGTATTACTTGTTTTTGTATTGTTTGCTTTTAGGTCATAATGTTATGTAATAATACATATATTAATATCGATTAATTTCTTTATTAAACTCTTGCAAATATCAAAATTATTTCCGCTTCGCGTGAATAAATTTGGATTTGGATATTAAGCTCGGTGATGAGATTTTATTTGTTTACTCGTGTGTGCGTGTAGAAAGGGTCGTACCGAAAATTCTGGGACAATTGTGCTCGGGAAACCTTTCGCCGACGCAACATCTGGAGACGCAGCAGGCGCTGGTCAAGCAATTGGCGGAGATACTGGAGTTTGTATTGAAGTTCGACGAGCATAAGATGAAAACGCCGGCGATTCAGAACGACTTCAGCTACTACCGTAGGACATTGACGAGGGCATCGCTGGCGCGCCAGGACAACGCCGAGAAGGACTTGGTCGTCGGCAACGAACTTGCCAACCGAATGTCCTTGTTCTACGCCCACGCGACACCCATGCTTCGAGTTCTGAGTCACGCGACCATTACTTTCTTGATAGACGTAAGTGGCATCGCCTATCTTACATTGTCCCCGTCCGCGCGGCTACCCATTGTTGCCCGGACAATTATTGATCCGGCCAGATGCTAACTGATGGCAATTAGACGAAATTCTGCGGCTAGCCAAGACGGTCTCTCGGCTTATCCCTTCATCAATCCGCTCGATTGAAGAAGCAAATCTATCCCTTGTAATTCCGTTTTCGTAAAATTATTCGCTTCGTCGCAATTAAACTCGGATATAATATTCTTCGATTAATCAATATTAAAAAAAAATCGCGTGGATTCGAGAGGATTCATATTAATAGTTATAAGTTAATAGAAATGTAAGATTTCTAAGATTGAATCTGACAAATAATACAATTTTATCTTCTATTATGAAATATAGAAGAGTATAAATACAAAGTATAGCGCCAAGATGTTTAACTTTCCTATCGATTTCGCTTCAAATTTTTTAAAAGACTTTTTCTATTAATTATTTTCCTGACACACTTCTGTACAATGTTACAATGAATCCGCGGGCTTTCGTTCGTATTGATTGCGATGACAAATAACCGCGTTACGTGATCGACATGCGACTGTAATGGGCAAGAAGGAAAAAAAATTGTCGACGAGAGTAATGGCTCTGCTGAACTGGAAAATTGACAGGTATTCTAGCCTGAGATTTAAATTACCCGAGCGCTATATAGACTACATCAGTCAGACAAATAAACGTGCAGTATGACGGATGTACACACGCGCGCGCTCAAGCCCAATGCGAGTTTTTAATTAAAATCTATAACGAATAATAATTCAATATTTGAGTACCATCTTTAATTTGCAAATGTGTTTCATGATGCCTTTTAAAAACGCGCCGCGCTTTTCCAATAAATTGTCAAAAAATGCCCATATATATATATATAGAAAATATTTTGTTTCGGAATAGCAAAATTGTCGCGTTTCCAACAACACATTTATTACTCATAAAAGTCATAAAGGAACAATTTCATCATTTTTTTAGAACGAAGATATAGCCAGGGAAAACATTACGGAAACGCTTGGTACAATGGCAAAAGTGTGTCTTCGAATGTTGGAAAATCCGTAAGTATATATCTATTTCCATCCAGTATGCAAAGAGACAGAGACTTGCCTCAAGAGAGTAGGAATTTCTCCGCGAAGCTAATTTGGGAAATATCTTCTACCAGGAATCTTCTGGCGCAATTCCAACGGGAGGAGACCCAGCTCTTTGTCTTAAGGGTTATGGTAGGTCTGGTGATCCTCTATGATCATGTACATCCCCAAGGTGCCTTTGTAAAGGGTTCAAATGTGGATGTAAGTATTAGAAAAAAAAATTTGTCGGAGAATAAATTTTTAACTAATACTAACAGTCTTAATTCCGTTTTCTACATCTGCGAATGCATATTTTTATATCTATAAACAATATAATGTTTCTACTGCAAAACTGTCAATAATATTCCAATTAAAATTGTGAGATAAAATTAATTTTACGGAAAAATATCTCAGTCTAAATATTCGTTGTAAGAAAAGCTACATGATAAGATCGAATCTTCTATCTCAGATAAATATTCGTTGTAAGAAAGGCTACAGATAAGATCGAATCTTCTTTCGCCTGTATTCCTTCGATCTCACGTGTGGTCCGAACATCCGACAGGTCAAAGGCTGTGTGAAGCTATTAAAGGACCAGCCGCCTTGTAAGAGCGAGGGCCTTCTGAACGCCCTCCGCTACACCACGAAGCACTTGAACGAGGAGAACACGCCGAAGAACATAAAGAACCTGCTCGCCGCATGATTACCGAAGCAACGCGGTTGCTGCATCAGGAGCTGAGACCGCCGGCCGCACTTCCTCCCGCCAGACACTTCTCGAGCCGGTGTCGAGTTTTCGTTTACGACGAAAACCGCTCTTCGTACGAGCTCCGCGCGCGTTTAGAATCCGAGATTCTTTTGTTCGCGCGCAAAGTGCGACCCGCGCGTCAGGCATCCTTCTTGCACACGTCCGGCGAACGGTGGACCACATATGGCGTGTCCTCGGTAAGCTCCAAACGTCGAAAGCTGCCCGAAAACTGCCGAGACACTTCCTGAAGTCTTCGAAAAACGCAACACACAGTCGTTATAAGCGACGCGGTTTTGTGACGATCGACCTCGGCAGAGGTCGTTGCGCGTTTTTTTTTTATTTTCCTACGATCGTCTGGGAGTAACGAACGCGTGCGATTGTTACTATCATCGCTGACATTACTATTAACACCGCGAAGCGGTTATTGTCGGCGGAGGCAAATCTTCCGCTATTTATTCGTCATTTCGTTCAAACGACATTCATTGGCATAAATGTTTCTCCCGATAGCGCGAAAATCCCGCGGGTTCTCTCTCACTTCGCAGAATCATTCAACGACACACAAGGAAAGTTAGATATAGATGCTACAATAGATTTTTATGATAACGCTAAAGATTGTTCCCCCCCCCCCACCCCCCCGTAGCGACATGTATCCCTTGGTGCAGCGTTTTCCAAACCATGCAAAGTCGTCTATCGACTCCACCATGATTTCCGGCCGGACGGGATGAAAAGTTAATTAGAGCATATCATATATAGTGTATTTAAGGTGAACGTGGATTGTGGAGGTGTTACGGAGAGAGCTTTAATCACGTTATGGAATATTATGGAGATTTTTAGCTCTTGTTTTCTTTGTTGAATGGCGGGCGAGAGGGTGGGTTGTGAGACTGTGAATCGCAGAGTCGAATACTGCCGGATCACCGTGTATAATCGATAAACTCATTTCTTTTCGGTAACCTAATATTCAGAAGGTATCAAGTACTATTGCACGTGATCTGGATTGATCTGAAAGTCACTTTGTAATCTTTTCACGTACGCTCGATTAAAGATCGAAATGGAAAGAAGATTTTTTTAAAATTGAAAGAAACCAAAGATGCTTTTTAGTGTATAGTAAAGCTACGAGAATGCGTCAGAGATGTGATTTATTAATTATTATTATACATTATGATTGTATCATTATTATTAATATTATCATTATAAATGATACGGAATTTCTATTTATAGTAACTGGCGAACTCAACTTGCGACCGCGATGTATCTCAGCGGTATTACGTCATTGTTTGTATATTAATGCAGGAACATCCGCCTATGTGCAAACGCAATAGTCGTTGCACGAAAATTTGTAATAATTTGTCCTTCCAACATCGACGCAACTCTTTTGAATGCAAAACCGATTTAAGTTGCAGCGTTTGTTGCATTATGAATTTTGCCACGGTCTTTTTTAATATTTTCAATTGACTATTTATAAATTGTCAAATAATTTTATTATATAAATTCTGGAATATTATGTTTTTGGCTTACTTGACCAATTTTTCGAAAAGTTTTCTATACAATTTTTGAAAATTTTGTGGGATTTTTGCGAATAGATAGATACCGGATACTAATAAAACGATCCTCAAATATTGCAACTCTTTCTATTAACTTATCATAAAAAAAAGATTTGTAATACACATTTAGAACCGTTTTTACATACATGTGACGAACTATCAGGAACAAAAAACTTACAGGAGTTTTCGAACCGACATTAGCACAAAACATCTTCTTGCGCGTTTTAGAGATTAATACCTTAAAGACTGCTTGCCGACCATAATCCTTGTGTGAAAGTACACGTAACCGGAGATTACACGTTTACGTAAGAATTCACCGTGAAACGTTTATTAGTAGCGAAACCTCAGACACTTAAGTAGGTACTGTATATACAGATTGTTACAACGTATTATCAACACATCCGCAGGTATTACTGTTACATTGGCACTCGACGAGTGCCCCGACTTATTGCCTTGACTAATTTGTAAGGGAAGAAACAAAAAAAAAAAGAACGAACACGAGAGACACAGTATTTAGTTACTTTTACGTGCCGTTCATTGTACGCTTCATTTTGTAACGTTACTGTCAATGTCAATTAACACGACAAAATATTATTATCGCACGTATTACACGCGCGCACGCGTGCGCAAATTGTACTTGAATTAAATTAAAACTCCCCTGAAATTCATAAAGCCAGCAATTATTTCAGTAGTTATTCTGATGAATCACACAGTTCCTTCCATCAAACGCGCGTCCTTCGCGTACGCGATAGACATCGTACGCGATTGTTTCTACGAGGAACTTCCTTCTTGCACGTATTATAACAAAAATCTACTCTAAACTCCCTCCTTTCTCTTCCTCCGGATCCAGCAAACGAATGCGGACAAGCACAATTTGCCTTTTCTTTAATATACAAATAACAACTGTTATTATAACAATTGGAATAACAATTGTTTATATTAATATAAACTTTTGCTATCCCGCTTCGTTTATGTTAAATCAGGTATTGTATATGTATGAGTCTTGTTTTTATTTTATTTATTAAATTAAATGTTAAATTAAATTATATAGTATCTTCTATTTTTCTTCAAATGCTTATTGCTTAAATCGTGTGTATATGAATGCGAATACGTGTAAATGTAAATCCGCACTCTGAACTTAGATCCGTATTAGGTTTGTCAAGCCTAAATGACTGTGCGGATCAGTCATATCTGCGGGAAACAACTTATTGAAGCAAGTTATTCATTCATGTTTGTTCGCGCTCGCTCGCTTGAATCCAACTTTAGACAAACAGGATGTGATAATACTATTCATATAACATGAAATAAGCTATCTATCGTTCGGGTAGCGTGCAGTCGCGTATTATGTTATCATAATTTGTATATATCTTAGGTCCGCGATCTTATAATTCATGATTAACTCGATTTAACCGAAGTTCAACTCGCATTATCTTTTCTTAAACATATTTATAAGGCTGAACAATTTTGGAAAATGATTTATTTGCGTAAAAATTCGTCGAAACAATCGAAAACTCTCGCCAGAAGCATCTAAACTTATCAATACGACACATTTTCGTAGAGTGACGTGCTGGCGGTAAAATTAAAGATTGCTTTAAAAATGTTTATAAGGCGGGACAATTTTGGAAAATGATTTATTTGCGTAAAAATACGTCGAAACAATCGAAAACTATTGCCAGAAGCATCGAAAATTATCAGCACGACACACTTTCGTAGAGTGCTGTGCTGACGGCAAAAGTAAAAATTGTTTTAAATCTAAGAATTAGAAAGAGATTAACCATAAGTTAAACCAAGTTTAAAGTTAATTTTATATTTGTAGAATCAAGCCTTAATCACGTTAGCATTGAATGATAAAAATATCGCAGAAAAATTATATATGTCTGACATCTACATATACACAAAATTATTATTAATTATTAATTTTCTCTCGCGTACGTGAAGACGAATGTGATTGATATCTTTTAAATATATATAATATATTTTCTTTCTAAGGCTTTGCGCATAATTAAAATATATTTTTTATTTTGCAAAGCTTTATTTGAGCGAAACAATTACGTGAAAGAATTTTAATAGATCACTTTTTTATACTCTAATAAAATTTTAAAGCTTATGATTAGATCTGTAAATGTAATGTTTAAATGCATTGTATCTGTCTAAAGATAATCATACTCTTAAGCTATACATTTTTTATTACTTGAGATAGATAAATAGATTCTGCATAGATATTTGTCTATTTATCAAAGATGGGAAATATTTTTATTCTCTTACCAATAATTAGTAAGGTATATCAACAATTAATATAACTAGAATTATTGTCAACAGTTGATAATACCATGCACTGTTGCATTATCAGTCGATAATTCGTGAGAGCAAAGGCTTCAGGAAGGAACAGGCAGGAAGATTCGTGACCCTTATAAGAGGTGACGCATCAGAGCCGAAGCCCGCCATTACGTGACGCCACGATGGTTATTAAGGCGCAATTCTTTAAATATTGATTGAAAGCGGGTCGGAGTCTGTGGGTGGTGCTCGGGGGAGGCTGGAGGGATGAAAGCGGAAGGTGGAGGTTGGTCGAACCGGCGAAATGAGATGAGATGGTTGACCGAGAAGGGGAGACCCATCTATTATATATGATGGGCGCGGTCGCTCTCTATGGATTTTTTTTGCCATTATAAATGCAAGCTGCGTCAAAGATAAAATTTTAATTATCGGCCCGCTACAAAAAGTTTGAGAGTTCAAGACAGTTTCTAATCTTGAACGATCGCGCGGTACTAAATATTCTTGTCGAATATTTTTAGACTCTGATTACTCACGAACGCTGTAATTTATATTCTGTTCAGATGTTACGTTACATTTTTATAAATTAAATAATATTATGATTATCTTATAAAAATAGCATGAGTTTTTAATATTGAAGCATAATTCTAACATTGAAATTTTTTTACGATAAATAAGCAATTTTATATCGAAGACATGTATGACTTTTTGAATATAATTTATGTGTATCTTTTCACGATGAAAGATTAAAACGTATATTACAACATTTTGAGAGAAAGAGATTCTTGAAATAATTAGAATATATTTGCGAAGCTATCAATATAATTTTAAGCGTCGTATGCAAATATTGCCATATTACAATAATATTTTACAAAAAAATTTAAAATTATTCTTTTATTTTTTATTATTAAAAATTTTAAATTATTCTCTTATTCTCTATATTAATCTTTTTATATTTACATATATTATATATAATCATATAATAATATTTCTTTTGTATTTCCTGCTTTTTCGCCTTATCAATTATAAATGGAGGCAAAACGATCTGGCCGTTTATCATAAATAATTTTTGTCGTTTGACACATTTGTTTTAAAAATCATCGATCTCAGTCAGTCGACATAATTTGACAATCGCGATTCCTTCTTGCGCGATTCTCTTTCTCTCTCAAGCGGCCATGTTTCCGAAGGCGTCCGAGAATGTCGCCCGGCTTTTGTTTTGCCTTTAGCACGACCGCCACCACCATCAGTACCACCCTTGTAAGCTTCCCCTCCGCTCATCCCCTGACGCCACGCACAACTCGCTTTGGCTTCAACCCTCCTTTTTTTCAGGCTGGATGCTGCGGTGCGAGAGAGATGAGCGCAGAGGGACCCCTATGGATTTTTTTTCCGTACCACGAGAGCGCCCGCTCTCTCTCTCTCTCTCTCTCTCTCTCTCTCTCTCTCTCTCTCTCTCTCTCTCTCTCTCCGCATCCCTCTACGTTCGCGATGTTTTAAGGGCTGCAGCAACGCCTGACGGCGATCTTGAGGTGGATGAAAAAAAATTCAACCTCCAATTTGTAAGGCTAGCGGACTGTTTAATTGCGATATCCAATTTCTCCTCGCAATCCATCTTTTCTTTCTCTTCCTCCCTCCCCTTTACTACTCCGTATCTCTTTCCGTCTCTTCGTCTCTCTCACTTCGCGGTTTTCGAGGCGTCGAGATGGTTCATAAGGGCTGCTCGCTCGTTAATCTTCCGAGACGTTTTTTTTCTCTTCCTTTTTTTTGCCACCCTGAGGCGCGACGTCGCCTCGCTCGGGGGAATAATAATGAGACTAATCCGCGCGACACGCCTTGTACATTAATTCCTCGCACGAAGCGTTCCTCTCGGACCGACCACTTGAAAATCCTGGTGATACATATCGCGATTTTTTTTTAATAGCGACAATTTAAAGGGTAGGAAAATAACAGACGGAAGGGGTCGAGTTGTCGGTATGAAAGACGACGATCTTTACAGGCGAACATAACACTGTCTAATTCCAGTATCGCTTAAGCTTCTATTAAAATTCTTGCAATATAATATTACATAATTATATATAATCAAATCTATATCTTCATATGAAATAATATTAACGAAAATAGATAAATGAGACAATTAGCCATTAGATGAAGTGACGTATATATTTTGTAATCTCATAAAGGCAAGTTATAGAATAATATAATTTTAAACTTCTGTTAAAATTCTCTTAATATAATATTGTAATTATATAATCAATTATATCTTCATATGAAATAATGTTAATGAGAATGGATAAATGAGACGATTTGTATTAATAAAATTTTGTATTTTAAATTATAATTATATTTATATATATTTTGTAACTTCATAAAGGCAAGTTATGGAATAACATAATTTTTACAATGATTTAATACGCATATAGTATATAAAAGTTTATGATTATAAAATAAATATATGTGGAAATTACTCTCTAATTCTCTTTTAAACTTTATCACATATTATTCTTTTAATATTCCCTTTAATATTATCTAATATTTTATTGCATACTATTTAATTAACAATTATTAGGAAACTGACAAATTCTTGTAAGAAAATCATATCATAATAAATGTCTATTTATTTTACAAAACAAATTTAGCAAAATACGTTTTACATAAAAAAAAAAAAAAGCAAATAGAATATCTTTGCGCATCTCTGAGTCCGACAAGCTTTCCGTAACAAGACGCAAGTGTGTCGATTTGTGATTCGCTACAAAAAAAAATCTACCCAGCGGGCGAGCATAATGTCAGAGTTTACAGTTCCGGCAAGTACCCCTCGCGCGGTTAAATCGTGCCACCCCTTTCTATCCGCTATGCGGGACATTACGCAGCTTCCCCCCAGTGCGGCCGGTCTAATTGTGATATCGACTTTTTTCGCACGGTTTTTTTTTCTTATCCTTTTTTTTCAACTCATCACCGCGTCCCGCTCGCTTGCTCCTCGCGCGCGCGGTTTTTTGTCCGTTATTTTCCCGCCACCCGGTAATTATGTGGGCGCGGCGGACCAAACAAGGGAAGCAGCAGAAGCGCGGCGTTGAAAAAAAGTCGCTTTGCATATTTAAATCCCGTTCGTAGAATCAACGGGGGGAGAGAGAGAGACGAAGGACGAAGTGCATGAAGAGCGAGCGAGACGGCAGGATAGGGCAGAAAAAAGGGTGCGTTCTGTGCCAAGCTACCCCTGCGACGACGACGGAGAACGGCGAGGGCGCGTGCGCCACGACAATGGGCCGTGTTTGCACACCCGAAAATTGGCCGACGCAGAAAAAAAAGCGGCTACTATCTCGGCATGAGACAAAAACTACTTGGGAAGAGAAAAAAAAACAGTCAAAGGGAAAACGCCTAATCGGAGGACATGCGCTAACTACCCTCGATCTCGTCA